ATTATTTAACTGTGTTTAAATACAACTACAGTGTTTGCAGACTGTCTGACTATTTGCATGAAGTTGCATCAGACTTTATCAGTAATGCTTTACTCCCTCCATTCGCTGGAAGAACAGACGGGAAAGCTAAATCAAACCCTCCCCGATAACCCCCGGAGATGCTTGTCTGATTTTAAGAAAAACAAAAATGTCTTGCTATCCATGTCCACGTCTCCCACCTTCACACAAACACACTTCAGCGCAGCTCGCGAGTTTTCCGCAAGGAGGAAAGTTAAATGGAGATGAGTTGGAAATGAAAACCGGGGCACTTTGTAATGCTTACTAAGAGCAGAGAGACTGAAGAGAGTGAGAGAGCTCGGGCTGGTAATGAATTAGTAAAGCCCGAGCCTCCTTCCGTGCAAAAGAAGGGAATGGAAAGACAAACTCTGTATTTGTGGCAGAGCTTTTGTTTACTTGTGCAAGGTTTAGAGCACTTGACTCAGCAGTCCTCTGCATTGTCAGAGAGCCATCGCCTGCACTGAATATCTGCTTGATAGCATAATGTTTTATTCTGCTGTAGGAATTTGCTCGCTGCCATGCTTTGATAGAATGGCGTCTTTTGCTGGAAACTGGATCTCATACTCAGTTGACTGTCTTTTGTTATTCCCTGGTGCAATCTTGCACAAAATGGGGGAAAAAAATGCAACTTCATTGGTAGCGTTAACACAGTGTGACAAAGTAGCTCTAACTACTGAGCAAAGCAGGCACTGCAGCTTCTCTAGGTAGTGATTGAATAATGTGTCAGAGCTTTCTGTCTGCATTACTTTTGCCAGTTTCCCAACAATTTCCCTTTAAGAAAGTGTTTGCGCTGCTGTGTTAAATGAATCATTTTGTGACTCTGCTGTGACGTTAACTTGAAATGTAATTTTTGCCAAAGCATGAACATGAGATGCAGGCGATATTTTGGGCTGGTGCTCAGAGTGGAGGGAGAGAGAGGCGCATTGAGCACTGGAGTGAGAGAGATGGAGAGAGAGAGAGAGAGAGAGACGAGCTTGGCAGAAACTCAAGGTTTTAAGCCATGCCCTACTGCAGTGGTTTATCTGAAACAATCTCCAGAGAGAAGCATACCTGGAGTGGCGCCACCATTCCTACAGTTCGCAAGCACACCAGCATTACGTTATTACACTTGGCTGAACACAGAGATGATGCATGTAAGAGCTCAGAAGAAGGTTCTTTTCATTCATGCAACACACACCTCATCCTTTGAGTCCTTGTCGAGTCTTGCTGCTGCTATAGATACGCTTCCATGTAACCTTTGTGCCAAAAGTAACCATTGCACTCCACAAAGGAGCTGCGTAATTACACATCCATTCAGCTAATTCAATTCCCCTCCTTGGCTTTTCTGCTTCTTCAAATCAACAGTGGCTCTGTGGAGTGGCTTGATTACACCAGGTGGTAGACAGATTGGATAAGCTAGTCTGTTTCTCCCGACGGCACTGTATGAACTTTCAAGGGATTTGATGTCGCAGCCATGAAGGTTTTCTGCCGTTCCCTTTTATTATCCCAGGCAGCAGCTCAGGAGTGGAACAGATTCTCAACTCATGGAAGAGCAACTTGATTTTAGTATTTTTTTAGTTGTCAGACCTTTTCAGGAGTTTAACTTGGAAGTTGCAGTTTTACCTCCAGCATGTCATTCTTTTATGCTATTTTTCAGTAATAGCTCACTAAAACATTTGGAGAAAATCTGGTGAACTTTCACCACATTTGTGTTTGTGTGTAGAAGAAGAGATTTTTTTATCATAATTTTAATTTAATAAAGTTATTGTATGTACAGTCTTATTTTGCAGAAAGATTTTTGCCATGTTTATCATTTGCTGATAGAAAAAGTCAGATGTGCAGAAGCAGAATGTTAACTGAATGTCAATATTTGTGATGCACCAAAAAAATTGGCTGAACAAGAAAACAAAATTCAAGACACACGTGGCCAAAACCCAAAAATGAATACTTTTTTTATTTTTATTTAAATTTTATTTATTCTTTTGAATTAGTGTACTAAACATTAAAACCACTTGGAAATAAAGAAAACACACTTTTATTAATGATTAAACCTGCTTTCAATAAGACAAACTGAGCTGACAAAGAAAAACTTACTAAAATGATTAGGCTGTAGCATGTGCCACAAAATCCAACATCCTCAACAACAGAGAACAATCATCCAAGACAATGAATTCCAATTAAAACCATTTTTTTTTTACTTACTATACTTTGTTCTTTTGCACTGTCGTTTTTTTCATCATTTGAAAAACTGAGGCTATAAATGGCTTTGTGCTAGCAGTGACTTTCTGCTTTTGTTGTTTAGCTGTGTTCTGTTTACTGAGCAGAATTTCGTGTTTTAATATGGTATCACACCAGCAGTGAAGACGTTGTTGAGTGTTGTACCTCCTCTTGATACTCAACATAAACAGCGGTGATAAATCTCTTGTGGAATGTCCCTCATAGAAACCAGCGAGGTAGTTGTTTTTCTGCTGCCACTCAAACTGTTTTGATGTGTCAGTGCTGCCTGGTGCAGGGGAACCAAGGGAACTAACTGAGTTTTATCACTGTTTCTCATTAGATTTTGAATTTTTTTGTTAAATGTTAGATTTTGAAAGTGCCATTTTTGGCCAGAATTTTGTTGCATCCCTAGTAAATGTAATCAATTATGTAACTAATGATCTAATTGCTTATGTAGGTACTTGTAATGTAAATCAAATATATAACAAAACAATTGCTAAATTTTTAAGTTTCTAAAGCTTAAATTATGTGAAAGTGTGAGTTCTTGCTGCATGTTCTTACTTAACTGTTTTATTATGTTATGTTTGTGTCGCTGTATATCCATGATTTGCTGTTTATCTCTGTCTTTTTGGATTAGCGGCAGCATGTGGAGGAATTGTACAGCAGCTCTTGCAAATGTTATTGACCTTCTATCCTTACAGAGTGCTAATCCATGCTGTGTGAAAACATCACTGCTGCTGGTTTAAAAAAAGCACTAATAGGGTGGGATTAAACTGGCTCTTCCGTGCTCATATGTGTAGCGAAACAGAGAACAAAAGGAGACCCCCTCCCTCATCCACATGGGTCTGCGTGTTGGTACACCTCAAAACACAGAGCCCACTTGAATGAGCTTTCTTGAACAAGCTGGTGGCATGTCCTCGCATGAGCGGAGGTGTTTGTGAGGCTGGTTCATTGTCTCCTGTGTTTGGTCTGTGCTGTGAATGTGAGCAAACCCTGCCCCCCCAAAACCCACAGACATCCGGGGTCTTACACTGCAGTCACAGCATGGATGAGCTGTTGATAGAAATATTCCAGGTATGGGGTCAGGAAATGACAAGGTAAACCCTGGTGTTTGTGTTCTTAAGATTCAGGTAGCTTTTGTTTCCTGTTTTCTTCCTTTACAGTAGGTGTGCGCTTCTCGTCAAGGAGAACGCACACCTATCTGACTTGCCTCAAATGTAAAGCAGCAGGGATGTCAAGCAGCAGACCGCGTGCCTGTCTGGCTGTCAGCGTGTCTCTCGTGTGCTGCTTTTTGTTGTGTCTACGTAACACTCCCGTGGAGATGTGAGGCACGTTCCCAGTTCACCGTGTGGGTCGCAGTCACGCGCAGCCTGACTGCTGGCAGAAGCTGAGGTGTCATCGGTAGAAATCGGCCCAATTAACACATACCGCTCTGGAACGTTAATGCTATTAGCGCCTGAGACAAGCGGGGCTTGTGCTGGGGCTGAGGGTGGGACTGGAGTTTCTGTTGGTGGAGGGTGCTGTAATCCCCTCATCCTTTTGTTTGTTTGGCAAGGCAAACTACCCCAGCACCCACCAGCCCCAGCATGTCTGTGTTTATCGTCTCTTGTGCTCCACAATTAGAGAAATACTTTTGTGAAAATTCAGTGTCTAATAATTTACCCTTACCCCAAGTGTAGGTGCAGTCAACCAGCCTAGGTGTCTGAAATTTGCTTCTTTAGTTTTGCACTGGAGCTATAAGGCTAATGTAGCTAACCGTTAATGGAAGCAAATAAGTAATTATACAACAATTATATAGTTCCAACGACACAATCTGGTTGTTTGAGAAGCGTTTTTCACAATAACTGCATCATTCTACTGATGACAGGTTGCTAAGTAACAACAGCTTTGCACCTAACAAAGTTATATTTCTACTGTGATGGCAGAACAACTTAAATAAGCCAGAAACAAACAGAATACGTTTCAGGAAGCAAGATGGGCTGTGTAATGCTTTCTTGTCTGGAACAAGGTGATGTTAAGGTTAACCTAAGACTGGGACATTTTAACTCTGCATTTCCGTGACGGTGAAGAAAAGTTGGTTTTGTATTGGACTTCTCATTGGATGTTTAACTTTCCCTTCTCAGTTTCTTGTGAAATAAACATCCGAAACTGATTAAACCTACATTTTCTCACACAGTGTTATTCATGATAACACACTCTCATATCTCTATTTCATGTTCTATTGCTTAACTAAAGCATTCTCCTTCATCTACAGTGCAAAACTGAAGAAAAAACTTAGTATGCCAGTCGTGTCTTGTCTGATTTACTGCATTTGGGGTAAGGGGAAAATTGCATCAATTAGATTTTCCATCAAAGGATTCTTTCAAATGATAGGGCAGCATCATCTTGAGTAGTCATCCAGAGTATCGTCCACACTCTAATCCACTCACATAATACCTTCATACACGTCTCTCCACCTTTCCATCTCCTCCTTGCTTTGGGAAGTGGGGGAAGGGCCAACGGGGGACCACTGGAGTGGCAGTAAAAACCCGCAGCTCAGGGATTCCTCGCCTGACTGCTGGATCCTTTGAACTTTGCCTCTCTGTCTCGCTCTCCTCCCTTGAAGGAAGGAGCAGAGGAGCAAGGCTGCCTCTGTATGTGTGTTTGTGTGTGTGTGTGTGTGTGTGCTACCCCCCCCCCAACTTCCCTCCCTCTCTCCTCGCTCTCCACAACGCGCACACCCTCTCTGGCACTGACACACACAATGGACTGCTCAGCAGGGAGTGAGAGCTGAAGGCTGGGCTGAGAGAGCCGGGCTGCACTGGGTTATTCTCTTGGACGAGACGGCCAGATCCGTGGGAGCTGATATTTGACCCATCCTCTGCTCTCAGGCTGACTGAAAGCTATTGTACCCCTCCTCCCCCTCCTCTGCCATTCCCTGCCTTTCTCTCTCTCTCTCTCTTTTCGGGAGATCTCTCTCTCTCCTCATCTCTTTGTGCAGCGGAATATACTCGCGCCGTCGCTGCTTCTGCTGCTGCAGTCTTGCGCGTGGATCGGCGGGATGGAGCGCTTCCTTGGCTTTGTCAAGCAGATCCGCAGGTCCCGCAGGCGCAAGGGCAAAAAGTACCGGCCCGAGGAGGATTACCACGAGGGCTATGAGGATGTGTATTACTATGCCTCCGAGCACTTGCACAGTAAGTGGTCCTGCCAGCCAGCCAGGGACGGGGAAGGGCTCTCGCTCCTGTCATTGTTTTACCATCACTGTGAATCATTAGCCTTGAGCTAGAACAGAGGCGGGGGGGACTTTGTTTCAGGGTGAATTGAGAGGCTTATGCATGGCTCATGAAATCCTATGGAGCGTGACCAGGTCATGAGGCAGCTGTGATAATGTCCCAACTTGTCTGTGTGTGGCTGCAGCTAAAAGTGCTTGCCCTGATGAATGGGATGTATTGGTTAATGTTTATTTCTATTGATTGGGAGTGAATGCTGTTCACTCGTGAACGGTGCGCTGTGTGTGGTTAGCACACTTGTGTCCAGTCCCGGCCATGTGGAGGCCGTTGCGCCGCCTCAGTGTGATTGTTTTCTCTCTGTGTTCTTTACTAGAGGTGTTTGTGTTCACCCCTCCCCCACCATGCTTGACACTGCTTTACCCCTCTCAGGTGAGGTGTAGTGCCTTGTTTTAAATACAGTAACCTGGCCCTCCACCATAACCTCTTTTTGTCTGTGAAGCACCCTCAAATGAATGCACCCCAAGTGTTCATCTCCTGCACTCTACCATTGTGTCAAGCTTAGTGCTTTCACAACGTGTAGCTGTGCAACTCTGTTTGCACCTCTAATCAGCAGCATGTTTTCTCTTTTTACCTGTGCTGTGGCAGACAGGCTTCTCTCCCATGCCCCCAAGGTTTGAAGGGAAATGACAGGGAGGTCTGCAATTCGCATTCCTCACCTTGCAAAGGGAGAGAGAGGCTGACCGGGAGTGAGCCAGAGCAGGTGTAAGCATGATCCCATAGCCCTCTTGGCATGCTGACTTAACATTCTGTACCGTTTTGACAAAGACATTGCGTATGCAGTCCACAGACCACTCCGATGAAGGCTTTGAAATTCAAGGGAACACTATCAGATTTTTCCTACTCTCCAGAATTAAGCAGTTGCCTGATTTCTGATGCCATGGTATGTGTTTATGTGCTTTGAGACTTTGTTTCTAGCACTGTGTGGGAAATAAACCAGAGAGGGGATGGATATTAGTCAGATAAAGTATTACTCAAGACGTAACACTCCTTGCCATCAGCTGTATTGATGTAGCTGTCACTGTCTCAGATGAAAGCCTCGCATGAACAATGCTTCACACTGAGGACCCAAATCCGCAGAGTCACCATGTTGTTCTTTCACTCTCTTTGTTAATCATTTAGCTTGAGACCTGAATCGAAGATGACTGGCTTAATTGATTGCACAGCTCAAGTCATGTTTTATTCTACAGCACACTCGGTTTAATTTGCGCAAAGTATTAATTAAATACAAGCATATTTCATTAGCAAACGGTTAAGACTGTCATTTTTGCCTGACGGCGGAAACCAGATCTCTCAGTAGCCTCACTCTTGCATGCGTGCATTTAGTCAGATATTCCCTTTGATGTGCAATCGCAAAAGCTCTGCTCTGCAACATAAAATTAGACACCTAATTGGCCCAGCTGGAGTCCGAGTGAGTCAGATACAGGAAGTGGAGGAATAAATGGCATTCTGAGTATTTTTAGACCTCCAACAGATATGGAGCCGTCACATTTGCACTCGGGCCTCTTGAGTTTGGCTAAATGTTGTTGGTATATATGGCGGTGAAGGTGTAATTGGACTCTGAGATGGCTGCGGCACTTTGAAAACATGAAGTTACCGCTTTAGCTGAATGCATCCAGGAGCGTGCACCGGCAGCCCACCCTAATTAACTTCTGTGACCAAAAAAACCTGGAAATGTCACACTTGGTCACCGCTTATACCCCTGCCTGTGCTAGAAACGCCCCCCCCCTTCCCTGCATCATTTATATCAACCTCATGCATAATTCATGGTGAGGTTGTAGTCTGCCCATTCCTGTACATTTATCAAGCTCTTACTTGGGTAGGACCCTGCCAGTCGCTTTCTAATGGGATTCATTCGTCTGCAGTTCCATCCTCCCAGCTTGGGGGATATCTACACTTTTTGATTTTGAAAGATTATTCATTTCACCATGACAATAAAGAGCACTCAGACCAGGCATGCTCAGTCATAAATCTGTGAAATCAGGAACAGTAGTGCAGGGAACAGAGTATAAAGAGGAGATTGGTGCCTTTTCATCCTTATCATTTGTTTTCCATATGCTGATTTCCATAAGTGTGATCCTCGTTTGCAGCTTTCTATGTACAGATATCATTCCGTTGTTTCTGTTGTTGAGTCACTTCTAAGTAGCTCGTTTTCTTTTTAAGTAAACAAGTCATCCTCTTCCCTGCGATGGACTGGCGACCTGTCCAGGGTGTATCCTGCCTTCCGCCCAGTGACAGCTGGGATAGGCTCCAGCACCCCACCGTGACCCAGAAGGATAAGCGGTTTAGATGATGGATGGAAGGAAATCATCCTCTTCCAAAACAGCTCTTAAAATAAGATAGTCCTCTGCTGTATTTAGCATAGTGGGTGTGCTTGTTTCTACCTGAGAGGCTCCCAGAAATCCAAGATCCTTGCAGCCATTTTGCTTATTTGATCTCTTTTTCATTGTTGCCTTTTGGTACATCTAGTATGGTGGTGCTGTAGCTAATTTTCGGTGGCAAAAGTGAAGATTCTGTAGCATTAGTTAAAGATGACATCATCAAGTCACTGTTTAGGGTGTTTCTCAGTTTCTTTCTTAGTATTTATAACTATAGCTATGAAACTAAATGGTGATCAGTCCTTAGACTGATGGTGTCTATCAGAGAGGTATATTACAAAGTAGGCTAGCAAACTTACTTTGGGTTTTGACAGAAGGTAACCTCAGGGGAGCTGTACAAAGTATGCCTCAGTTCAGCTAGCCTGAAGGGAATTCTGCTTTTTTCAGGGCCTATTGTAATTCTTACCTGGGGGTCTAGATACATCTCAGATAAGATTTAGATGCATGACTTTTAACATTGCCAGGAGGTGCGTTAGACTGTGCTACTCAACCTACCTTGTAGCAATTTCAAGGCAGCACTTCTAATGTCATCAAAATATCATATATTTCGGAATGTATTCTAGATCAGGGGTTTTCAACCTTTTATACCTCACGGCCCACCAATTTACTACTAGAAAGCTTGAAGGCCCACAGGAAAACAAAACTCAGTTTTTTTTTTTTACATAAAAATGTCATTTTTAGCACAGCTATGTTTGTTTACCAGCCCCTACGATACATGATGCATATCAGTAAACATAAAAAGATCAACAGATTAGGCTAATATAAGCTTGTTTTATACCATTAATCAGGTAGAGTGATGGCATATTAAGTGGAATTTTTTTTGGGGGTGTTTTGTTTCAAGGGGCAAGGGGCAGGAAACTGATGAATCTGCTTTGGTGTGCCAATTTTGCATTTAGATTTTTTTGTCAGTTATATTTTCACTGATTTGGATGGCAAAGTGCCATCAATAGCTCACTATGGACCACAGGGCCACCTCAGTATTGGCCCGAGGACCACCAGTGGGTGCTTTACGGCCCACTTGTGGTCTGCAGCCCAGTGGTTGAGAAACCCTGTTCTAAATCATTGTAGAAAATTAGCATTGACCATAATACAGTGCAAAAAGGTAAAAGATAACAGTGATTGACTTAAAGCATACCAGTGACTCTGCTTGCACAGTTACTAAAATAAAAGGTTGAGAAGAAATTCAACTAGTTGTCTCAGCAACTCACTAATCCATCTTTCTACTATGCCTCCCCCTTGAGTTTAGCTCACCTCGGATGACTTCAGGGCCACATTTCGACTTAGATGTTTCTTTCACAAAGACTCCAAAAGTTGTCAGTACTGTCTTGGGTAAAGAAAAAAGTGTTGCAGAGTGTCACCAAGATAGTTGCCAAGACTTTTTGCTTGGCAGAACTTTACAGTGTTTGGTGTTATAAAAGAACAATGCAATACTCAGACATCCTTAGACATCTCGGATGTGCTAGGAGCCACACTAAAGACCTGGCATATCAAAGCAGTAGCTTCACTACTATGTTATGTAAAACCTAGCAGGAAAGCTTAAATGAATATCAAACAATTTGTGTTTTGGGCTTTAAAGAGAGCCTGAATCGTTTTCTCTGATTGGATCAAATTTTCAGTGGGAGACGGAGTTCCAACTGGTATTGTAAGTGCAAAATAATAGACATAGGCCTTGCTCCTCTAAAACATATTTGGATAAGATTGGATGGCACAGAAATTTACAGTCGCCCACCAGCTCTTCCAAACCTGTCAACGCCTGATGGCAGAGATTCTCTGAATAACCGTTTATGGGGTGCAGTGGTTGCATGCTGGCAGCTGTTTGAGCCCTGGGGTTTTTGGAGACGGATGGGTTTTAATGAGCTGCTTGCAGTTGGTAGGTGATAATGAAGCCCAGTTCTTCCTCCAAGAGCATCTCTGAGCCACCTGATGCTTCTAACATTTGAATTTATGTTAAGACCAGCACTGTTGTCTCTGACCAGAGACATCCCTCAACCAAGCCTTTGGGTCATAGAGGGAGAAGAAAGAACCACTAGCTACAGTTTCTGGGATTTGGTTGTGCAAAGAAAAGAGGAAAGCTAAGCATCTAGTCTGGTTTTCCTCACTGCTGCTTAAAAGCAGATTCCCTGATGCAGCTTTTTCATTGACTTGATTTGCCAACACAAGCTCCTATTCCCGTTTTTTGTGAACAGATCCTTTCAAGTAGTCATTATCACCCTGAACTAAACCATGCTTTGTAGAGGTAATTGGTTAAAATAAATCATCTACACCGAAAAAGGAATTTGTTCCACTCTTTAATTATTCCCAAGTGATGTTCTGCTCTGCTGAATAGAGCCCCTCTCGGCAGTAGCGCTCATGTGAAGCATGATGAAATTTAAGATTTTGTTGAACTCGGACTGCTTTTCAAATATTCACAGTGATCAAAGTAAATAAGCTTTCGTGTAGGCTGTAGCTTCACTTTATGATCGGTATTACCTAATTTATTTATGCTTTTAGACTCTTCATTATCTGTCTGGCTCATTCTGTGCTTTCGAA